CACGGTCTGTCTACATGTTTCCAGCAACGCGAACAAGAAGACTCAAAGGTGAAGGTGTACAAGGACATAGCCCGAAGCACACAGTGTTGTTCGCAAACCCTAAAAATCTCGCCCCAAACAGGTGAAATTGCCCATAAACTGAAGCAGAATGGAGGTTCTGTGGCCTGGACACAAAAATTGAGCTAAAAAAGAGCAAGGCACCATGGACGAAAATTTTCTTCCAAATGAGGGAATTTTCTCTCTCTAACCTTTCTTTTATAATAATATTATTATTGATTAACTTATAGACTAGCTTTAAAGAGGTCAGGTTTAACTATCTTAAATAATAATAATAATAATAATAATAATAATAATAATAATAATAATAATAACATAGATTAAAAATAAATTATTTAAACCTATTAATTTTGAGGTTGAATCCTAAGGGGGTGTTTGTGCATAAATTCCTTCAATTCATACTCAATTATCAGTCAAAATCTAACTCAATGTTAACTCAACTTTACTATCTTCAATATTATCAATATAATTAAATAATATCAAACAATCATTCTTACAGATCACATCAATTTTAATTCACTATTCATTCACTCACATAATTTTAAGTAGTTATCACTTGACATCATCTATTTCCTATTTTTACATCAAATCAATTTTAATTATTTCATTTTAAATATTATTTGAACATAAATTCACAATTTCACTAACTAACCTGCACCAACATTTTTAAAATTAACCAAGATTAACTGAAAAACTCGTTTTGAGCGGATATATTTGTATCCAAGCACGCCCTAAAAAATACACATCACTCTCAATCATCTCTCTCATATTTTTATATCAAATCAACTTTAATCACTTTATTTAAAATATTATGTATATATTTACTCAAAATACCTCTAAAAAACTTAATTCTTGTTAATAGAAAAAATCAATCAAAACAAATATATCCAATCAAAAATCTATATATAAACACACCTTAAAAAGCTCCGTCAATATTCTCCAGCGCAAATTTTGAAAATCAGGTTTCACAATAACCATATTTTCTTTGACGTACAAAGCTTTGCTTCTAACTTTCCTTTTTCTTCCTCGCCTGTCATTCTCGCCCAAATCTCATTTCGAATAGCCAGCAAAACCCTAGGACATGCCCTGATTTCCCATAATATCCTGAAGTTTTTTGCCTTCCATTTCCCCTAAATTTGAAAACCCTACTGTGATTTTTTCTTTTTTTTCCCCATCTAGGGTTTCAGCTGCATTTGGGCCTTCATTAATGGGGGCTTTACCCAACAGCCGGAAGCGAGGGGATGATTATTACAACTCTCTGGTTTCGCCATCAGCCCCAATCGAGCAATCGTACTTTCGCACTGCCAAAAAGCTCAAGCATTCGCCTATTCCGGCACAACGCACGCAGGGAAACAGTTGTTCCCAACCACCGAACTCGATGGCCTCGAGAATTGCCAAGTATCCGGATAGAAAACCGGGTTTTTTACGAGAGGTTCATGCTCCAGTAAGGAAATTGAGATTTGGATTCTTTTCTTTGGGTAAGAAAAGTGAAACTGCAGGTAGCTTTAATGATAGTCCGGAAATGGGGATATCCGGTTCAGTTTATCGGAGGTGTGCAGAAGCTGGGAGGACGGTCATAAATAGAAGCTTGAAATATGTGAATGCGTGGAAGGAGACCAAAAAGGAGGTGATTGTGGTCGATAGTGAGGATGAAGACAGAGATGATGTCATTGATGATGTAGAGTTGAAGATTGTGGATTCTGTAGGCAGTAAGAGGAAGACGAGGCAAAAGGATGTGGAAAACTCGCAGAAACCAAATTTGAAGATGGTTGAAAATGAAGTGAGGTCTTTAGATTCGTCCGTTATTACAGATGCAAGTAATGCTGTTATGGGAGTGGAAGATGGGGATAAAGTTGATTATATGCAACTGGGCCGGGGATCAGATGATTCTGGATTGCCTTGGTATAAAAGGTTGCTAGATGGGTTAAGGAAAAAATTTGATGGTAAGTTGGGAAGCTTAAAGTCCGAGATAGATATGCACGAGCAGCGCAGGCGGTGGGATCAGTTACTGTGGCCTCAAAAGAAAGAAGAGCAAATTAAGAAGGTGGAACATTTCCATGTTGCTTCCATGATAGTATTTGGTTTGTGTCGCATGGACTAACAGTTAATGGTTATGGGGTTTCGTTTATTTGCAGGATGTGGCAAAAGAATGTTTTGTGCCCCTTACAGAGAAGGAAGAGAGTGACGTTTCTTATGCCTTGTCAAATTCGAATAGGTATTGCAGTTTCCTATGTCGTTGAAATTAGTGTCTTCTTACCAACTTATTTACTGTGCACTTGTACCAACTCAACCTTTAGGAGGAAAATTTTGGTGACCCATCAAAATTCAAATATTGATATAACTGGAGAGAAATTGCAGTGTTTGAAGCCAAGAGCGTGGCTTAATGATGAGGTAATTTTCTTTTGTGTATAGGGAATGATGTATAAATGATATAATTTTATATGCTGGAGTTGTTGGAAGGCAATGACACAATTTGAATGTATGACTGTATGCATTGTTGTTCCTTACTTTGCAGGTCATTAATTTGTACCTTGAATTACTTAAAGAAAGAGAAAAAAGGGAGCCAGAGAAGTTTTTGAAGTGTCATTTTTTCAACACTTTTTTTTACAAGAAGGTTAGTTCATTGCTATCACCTTTCATATTAAGTTCAATTCATTATTTGACAAATATTTTGTATAAGTGGCCTAAGCATATATGAGAACAATGTAGTTTACCAATTTTATTCAGTATCGACTTTACATTCTTGTTGCACATCTGCCTTTATATCGTTTCTGTGTGTTAAGAAGAACACCTGGAGTCGGCAGCGGGCACACGCTGATACTTCTTCTAGTCTGATGGAGATAACCTCTGATTGCTATTGTAGTCCCACTTTAATTCTGTAAAAGTCACACTTAGTGTGGACTTTTATTCAAAGAAAGAACAAGCTAAAAGTCAGACTTTGACTGTGTAAAGTAACTCTTATTCAGTGAATGATACCCAATTTTGACATTACCAGTTTGGAGCATTGAGATATTATCTTATTGTCTTAAACTGATGTAATGAATAATTTATATTTTGCATTTTCAATTTATTCCGTTGAGATTTCATGTATGACATTATGTATAAGCTTGTTTTCTAAGTAACGATGTCCCTGATCATTTACATTTCCTGACCTCTGTAGTTTTTATGTGGACCAGCAACGCTTGCACATTTAAGTTCTTTTCTATTTGCTATTTTTCTATTTGTTATTTGCAGTTGATCAGTGGTGGGGGTGGCTACAATTTCCAATCAGTTAGAAGATGGACTACACAAAGAAAGCTTGGATATAATCTTTTGCAGTGTGACAAGGTACAGTTGAATTTACTTTTTCACGTTCAATCCTCGAGGACCTTTACCGAATTTCCCCACATCATTATTTCAGAATTTTCCTTACTTGTACTCTGACCTTTTTTCTAGATTTTTGTGCCCATTCACCAAGAAGTTCATTGGTGTCTAGCGATCATCAACAAGAAGGATAAGAAGTTTCAGTATCTTGATTCACTCAGAGGGGTCGATTCTCAAGTTTTGAATGTGCTGGTAACTTGCTCTATTTTGATCCTATTGAAAGTATTTTTTTTATTTATTTTAAGATTTTTTACGTGTTTATAAAATGAAAGTTTGAATTAAAAGAATTTATGGATGAGGGCCTTGTTTATATTTTATGTGGCACAAACAATTCATGTCGATTCAAAATGCAGGCCAGATATTTTGTTGCTGAGGTGAAGGAAAAGTGTGGAAAAGACATTGATGTTAGTTCCTGGGAGAATGAATATGTCACAGATCTTCCTGAGCAGGCAAACGGGTACAGTCCACATCTCTGTATATTTTGTTCTCTACAGTTATTGGAATATTGAAAAATGTGAAAGAATGTTCCTGAGCACTACACAGCTTTGCTTATTTAAAGATGGGTTGTGGGTTGTCATTTGTGAATGCCAGATCCTGTGATGTAGCTAAAAGTAAAAGGCTATTGTTGTTATCTTGAGAAACTGTACCCTGACTACTAAAATCTATTGTCATGTTTTTTTGTTAAAATGAAAACTAATTCGATACCTAGTTGTCTCGTGATATACATTTGAAGAAGACAAATATGACCCTAGGCTCCATTTGAATTATTTTACCTCTTTATTACCCTGCAAGGGAAGACATTGATATTCTCTACTTGAATCATGCCTTCAATTATGATAAAACTTGCTTCCTGGATTAGGTTTGACTGTGGCATGTTTATGATCAAATATGCCGATTTCTATAGCAGAGACATTGGATTATGTTTTAGCCAGGTAACTCCCTTCTTACCACAGTCATATTATGTGTGTCAGAAATTTTTCCTTTACTTTGTTTATTGGTTGTAGGAGCATATGCCGTATTTTAGGCGCAGGACAGCAAAGGAGATTCTGAACTTAAGAGCCGAGTGATGCACAAAACTTCTTCATTCGCCATATGCTACAATTTATGGAGTTAAAAAGCTCGGTGGTACTCAGCACACTACTGGTTTGCTGGTGAAATTCAGCGCAAGATGGCCGTGATCCATATCATTAGCTGTACATGAGTATCTGTGGTGAGATTGAAATTGATGTCCACCTGATCATGGAAAAGTTAGAGAGGTTCTGCGTGGTTGCGCCCTTTTTTTTTTTTTTTGGTCCCCCTTTTTATAAGCATTTCTGTTAAATTCCCAATGGTTTTGCTGTCCAGGTATGTATGTATTCTTTTTTTGTTAATCCAACTTTTCCAGAAGAAAAGAAGGATTTTGTTTCATGCCCTCACGAAACAAAGTTATGAATCGTGATAATCCAACTTCTGTGGTTTGTCCAGTTTCTAGGTTGTGGAATTGGATAACAGTCTGTTCTATTTGGTCTAACTATGTTGTTTAAACAAATAATGACCACCGATGAAATTTCTGCCTACACGTTCAAATGGATTCACGTTCTAACTTTTCTCTCTTCTGAATTCTGGTATATGTAACATTATCGATTTGCTTTATTCATCGTATTTGGCTGATTATGTCCGTGTTATTATTTGTCAACTCATTATTTCTCAGATCTGGGCAGTCAGTGTTGGAGATCAAAATTTTAAGGATTTTTTTTTTTCAACCACTGAAGATGCTCTATGAATGTTGCAGTAGTCTTTCTGGTGTACTATGTAGTTATTACATCATTAATGTCATGTATTTTGGGAACATGGAAAAAGAACCGTTATTTGGAGCATATTTATCAAATACAACATAAAATCAAGAACCAGAAGAGAGAAGAGAAAATACACTGCATATATTACCACAAAAAATAAGAACAAAAATACCTGGCAAAAGTAACAAATACTCTGGAAATAAATCACTAGGGCTCATTTCAGGCAAAACCTCCTTACATTACATAGATGAGTTCAAACACTAAACCGGGGCAAAGCCGAAAATCCCAAGGGGCAGAAATTCAAAAAACAGAAATGTACAGCAATATCCAGCTATAAACACATTTTTGTCAATTAAAGAAGTTCATATTCAAGAATCATAGTGTAAATCTACAGTTCCCACCAAATATAAAAAGGAGCTTTCTCTTTTGGTTTGTTGCAGTCCCATAATTCCATCTCATATTTATGACAGAAACATATGGAAAGCATCGGTTAATCGCAAGAGAACCACAACATCTTCCTTCAACAGTTATTTTATTACACCTTCACCCCGCGGTGCGACAGAATCAAGACTCCCACCTTACGTTTTGTATGGTATGCTTTGACAATTATACTTGGTACACAATAGGAAAGGACATTTATGCCCTTCAAAGCTGGTACAATGCAGGTTTCTTCTTAGCGGGGTAACCTCTTTCGACTCAGAATTTCCTGCTCTTTTAGCCGGTGCTGGAATCTTGCCAGTCGGGCTTGAAGGCTGACCAGACTGGCGGCTTTCCGGGAGAGGACATAACTCAATTGTGACACGTAGTTATCAATTTGGCTGCCCGGCTGCTCGACTTCTGCTAATAATTTCATCTCCTGGTAATATACAAACAGTACACAGATTATCCCTTTCCGGAAACCACACCTCAACAGTTCCAGAAATTTTGGGCATACACTGTTCACAATTATTTTCTTAGGGTGAATAACAAAAAAAAAAAAAAAAAAAAAAAAAAAAAAAAAAAAAAACAACCCTTGAAGGTTTACATATTACAGAAAGCCTCAGTAATCTTCGTTGTCGCAAGAAGCACTTCTTCAAGGTCTATCCTAACATTACAAATACCTCCCCCTTGAGAGTTGAAGTGGTAAATGTGGAAACAAGTGTCAAGGGGGCCAATTTAACTTTAATATAGTTTTCATATGTTTGCTTTTACCTATTTTATTTTATTTTTTCTTTTGGTACTTTTTGGATGTTACACTGAATATCAAGGATTCCATATTTGTATTTAAGCCCACTAACTTGTTCAATCCACAAATCATATTCTCACTTTGAATGAGATTCCCATTACATGGAATAATCTGAACTTTTTCACTCAAATGATGATTGACATCGTTCAAAGAGGCAAATAAAGATGAGAGTTAATTTATTACCTCACGAACTATCTCCATAGTATCTTCAATCTCTTTTCTATGGGCTGCAATAAGGGCCTCCTCTTCCTAGACAGACGAAAACATCCGATACATGATAAGCATGCGTTTCAACACTTTTTACACCAACGCAAATGATGTAAATCAAGAACAGTTCAAAAACCAACCTCAAGTATTTCATTCAATCTCCCATCAGGAGGCGGCTCGGGTTCACACTGTTTAGCGTCAGTGCTACTCGAACTAGAATTGTATACCATCCTCTGCTTATAATTACTTGGCGGCATAAGCTCCAAGCTGTCAATGTCTCTTTTTCCGTCCTCAATCTTTTCATCCCTGTACGCCTTCTGTCGTGATGGGGACACTTTCTGCACTCTCTCTTCAACATCAGTTGAACTCTTTGAGTAACTGCCCACCGAAAATGTCTTCTGGCTACGAGGAGCCCTAAAAGCATTTCTAACTTCAAGGGGACGTTCTTTTTCATCACCAGTGGTCACCTCACTTTCCTCACGCCCACTGAATCTAACATTCGAAGAAAAACTGGAGGGAAGTTTCTCATCACTGAAAGATGGAACTTCCTTAGCCGCATGCCTTCTACTTGTATCCACTACTTTAGATACTTGAAGCTGCTCGTACGCATCCTCTGACTCGGAAGTCACAGACAAAGTTGGAGCAAATGATGAAGGTTCCTTGACAACAGGCGGCAGTGAATTGGTCTGGTCCTTTCTTGGGTTCCCACTCTTTGAAAGACTCTTAACCCTGTCGATTAAATCGGCACAAATTAGCTTACAACATGGAAAAAATCAAACAAATAAAATAAGAGTAAGAGGAAAATATCATACCGATCGGCATATCTCAATGTATTGAGAGTGTGCTCACATGAGCCAGCATTAGGGGAGATGCAAGAGATCATAACAGTCCGTGAATTGCCAACAAATGAGTCACGGAGCACCTCCGTAAGTTTGCTTCCCCGGAATGGGATGTGAATCTGGTCATTGTCAAGAGCTCGAATACACTCCTTGAGTGCCAATAGACTTTTGTTAATTTCTGCTCCTTCAATCCTGTACAAACACATTGGCTTACAATGAGAACGAAAATAATTGCACACATTCAACCACAATAGCCTCTGCTCATGAACGAGAGCGTAACAATGCCATCAATAAACTCTGAGCAGTGAAGGAAATAATAAGGAAAGGATAACATACAAATTCACAAATCTTTATCCATGTATGCAAGTTTAGCTCAAGATTTAAACTGATATAGTGGATAAATACAGGTCAGCTAAAATGTTGTTGTAGTTTGTTACCAAAATTGATAAGCATTTACCATCATAGAAAATCCATACATGTGGAGCAATCTGGGAACCGTAATTACCTAAAATATTATCAAGACCACTAATGTAGAACAAAAGATAAATTACATTGGCAAATAATTATACAACAATTCACTAAAAAATATCAGAAATAATTAAAAGAAGCAATTAAGAGAGGGAAAGAAAAAGTTCACTTCATCAGGCCTTAACCAACATTACTATGTAAGTCAAAGGACATGACTTATGGCTACAGCTAAAAGATATACCTTGTTTGTCGATCATTATCTGTAGTGTCAGCACCTCTCTCGCTACCAGCAAGATCAATAAATGAAATCTTTCCAACAACCTTCCCGCTCCTTGGTTCATTGGCATCATTAATATTTTTACTTCTTTTGGATTCTTTCACCTCCGGGTGCTTCTTCACAGCCAGTTGCAAAATTGCATGGGATCTTGAGGACTCTTCATTGGCACCTGTTGAACCAGTACTTCTAGCCGCATTTCCCCTCTCAATATATTCTTTCACAATATGCACATCTGACACTTCAAACTCCTGCAATCCAACAATACAAACTTGTTGTCTTCCATCTTCCCTCATACATAATTTCCTACACAAGAAAAATATGAGCATAAAACAAGAAAGTCAAGGGGGTAATTCTTTTAGTGTTAGTTGCTTTCACACATCTACAGATCAATTTTGGGCCACGAAGGTCAACAAAATAATAGTCATTGTTTGTAGAGAAAATATAATTCTATAAAATATTAAAATTGACATGTTGAAAGGTCATTACTGATTGAACTTCAATATAAGACCAAAAAATCAAGTCAGAATACTAACTTCCTATCGCTCAGAAGATCATATAGTTTCCCCCCATAAATCTCAAAATAGCTAAGCCACAATTTAAATCTTTGATTACGATAAACTGGCTGACGTATCAATCTGACAAGGTCTTCTGCTGCTCTGAGGGGCAGTGGCTGCATTGTATATGTCTTACCACTTCCTGGGGAGAAAAAGGGGGAGTAGATAAGTAACTCAAGATGTACATATAAAACCATATGAATAAAACTAACCATACAACAGAACTCTGAGGAAAAAATTCACAAGGTTTGGTTTCTATAAAGTGGAGCAACACTGAACTACACTGGCTGTCTCCGCTGTTAAAATGACAGCTCTGTCTGACAATACAAAACAATAGAGAAAGAGATACACACCTGTTTGACCGTATGCGAAACATGTCGCTTTGGTACGTTGAAAAATGGTGGGTATAATTGGCTCAACAGTGTTGCGGTACACCTGACAAGACAAGCAGAAACCCAATTAGCAACCAACCTCTGCCCCTCCTTTGTGCAATTTCTAAAATTCTAAATTTGAAAACTATAATGAAATGAAAATGCTGAAGATAAATATTACCTCATCATTCGTCACATGCTCATCTAGAACCGCATCAAAACAAAACTCGTGTTTCTCGACGTATGCGGTCAGGTCGACCTTTTGCATAAATTTCAAATGTGAGCTCCCCAAGTCAGGAAAAGTAGAAATATAAATATGAAACAAACCCCCTTAATAAACAACCTTAACAGCGTTAACATATTCATACCTTTAACTTAGGCTCGTGGACTGTTAAATAGGCTTCATCATACGCAGTCACAATATCATCCTCTTTGCGAGAAATTTCCTTCTTGTTCAAAGGCCTCTTGCGTACCTATACACATGTCAAATGTGTTTCCAATTTCAATAGAACCACTACTACCAAATAGAATTCAATTGGGAGAAATCATGAAAGACACTAAGACTACACATACCACAACTTTGATCTTAGCCAAATTATTCTCCCTCGTGCTGCTTTCTATTTCAGTAACTGCTGATCCAGCAGGTGCCTCGGTTGTATCTGTTTGACCTCTCTGCTGCCTGCTGGCTATCTCACAGTCACTTTCAAATGCTTCGGTCACAGCGGGCATGAAAGGAGACGGCTCAAATGGCTCGATGATAACATGCTGAGAAGGACAATATGGAACTGTTAATAATTGGCCTTTCTATCTAAAAGAAAATAAAGGATTAAGTCAAAAGCAGAGGTGACATACATCTGACAATAGCTCTGTATCATCCATAGAATGCAGATCCAAAAGCCCAGCTCCAAAATCCCCTTTAAACTCAGGAGAATAAAATCCTTCTGACAAAGCAAATGCGCCTGAGCTTTGGGCACTTGGGGTATAAGGTTCAGAAACAGTTTCACCATTAAAATTGAGATTCCTCATGAGTTTGAAAAGTCTTTGTTTCTCTTCTGCAGACTGTGGTCCATAGCCCTATGAGCATCAACAATCAAACTCACCCAATTTATCATGAATCAAAGGTCATTGGATGGATAATCAATATACGGTCTTCTCATTTATCATACTCCCCATGCGAAAAAGAAATGGGGAAAATATAAGAAAACAGAAAACAAGTCTCGACAAGTATCCTCAAAACAAAACGGCCAATGATAGGCTCAACCAGAGCATTTGAGGAGATACCACATGAAACATTCCAAACTCAGTCCAAGCACACACCAACAGTGATACCCACCAAAAGTCTGATACCAAAGTTCTAATTCCATCAATCTATTTTTGGACAATAAATTTTATAATGAAAACACTTGAGGTTTAAAACACATTTCCCTGGAATACGAGAAAATCAAGATACAGATTTGCAGACACATACAAAGGCGTATAGCTTACCTGCATCAGTAAATTGGGGAGCATACGCTGATCAACTGCGTTGGAAGCCACTGGAGACGCCAGATGCTGCAGCCCGGCAGACTGTAGCCAGCGGGCCATCACAGCATCCCCCGCATCTCCACCGGAGACAGCTGGGCCACCATTCTCATAGAGAGCGGTGGCCCCCGCCACACTGCCCTGCTGCATCTGGCCACCCCCGTGGCGCATCAATCTCTTTTGGGGAGCCAATTTTGGAGATCTGCTTCTTCCACACTTCAAAAAATGGAAAGAAAATACAGAGAAATTCAATGGGTCAACAAGTAGTGATTTTGTCCTACTAACTCAAATCAGAAAAATAATCAACAGACGATTCTAAAGATTAACAAAAATGGGCCAAAACAGAACGACCATACAAAGTGGAGAAAAATGGAAATCAAAGCAACACATTCACGAGTTTCGCCCAAGCAAAAACTGCAACCCCATGTAATCGAATCCCTAAATTTCCCAAATTTTTTGACCCAAAATCGTTACCTTAAAAAACATCATCACCGGGAAAATGTAAAGGGGAATGCGATTCAACTGAAAATAGCTTGAAATAATGCAATTAAACAGTTAACAGAATCAATATATTTCGTACCTGAATTAGAAATCAATTGAACACGAAATGCGAGCAGATCTGATAATATTTTTTTTCCAAAAAAGGAAAAAATAAAGAAACCTAAAAGCTTGTAGGTTGGCAACTTTGCAAAAAATTTCAGAGGGATTTCTGGTGGGATTGCTTGAGAGAGTGGAATGGAGCGTAAATGCAATGATGATGATGATTAACATATGTCCATACGTACATATTACTTGCTTTCAACTCTGTTGACAGAGAAGCATATATATTTGCATTTGTATACATAATATCTGCAGAAGTATCTCATAATAATGATTAAGTGTAATGTAATTTTTTCTAATCACTATGAAAATATAAACTAGTACAGAGCCCCGTACGATGCACGGGGTGCACAATTTTAAGGTCATTTATTTAGCCTTATAATTATGTAAATGAATAAAGAAAAATATATAGAATATATATAGTACGTGACATGTGCGAGGCACGAGATATATATTTATTTGGGAGATTATTATACTATAAGATGCAATATTCAATAAAAGTTTTACAATACACGAAAATAAATATAAATAATATAAATATCTAAATACATACACGATATGTGGAATAAATAAACCAAATTGCAAATCTGAAAATTTAATTTAAAAAAATCGAAAATATATTTCACTAAACATGTACAAAAATATCTAAATACATGCACGAAAATAAAAATAAAAATAAAAATATACGTTTCAAATTTCAAAATTAAAACAAAAATTCAAATAATTTGGCTTACAGTTTTATCATGCAGAACCAACTCGAGATATGATTTGTATGTGTTGCCCCAGTCTTGGAAAAAATTCTCATAATTTGAACTTTGAGCATAAGCCTATTAGACCTATTGACTTGTTTGATTAACCCAAATCCTTGATTCATTGTTTCGAATAAAAGACTGATTGGGGATATTTTTTGTTCGCAGGAAGTTGATAGTGAGGAAGATGATGACTCGATATTTTGAGATTTGTAGTTTATAATGGGTAGATTAGATATATATTGTTGTTAATATTTTTATTAAAAAATCTGAATTTGAATATACAGAAATCGGTTTGAACAAAATCAGAACTGATTTCTATACAAT